CTTTTTATAACAGGGCAGTCACAATCTTTTGTTCACAGGGATAAACAAAAAAGCAAATGTAATTACCATGCCTCCCTGGAAAAAAAGACCTACTCCAAAAGTCAGTCCTAGCTTGATTTTGACACTACCCCCCCAAAAAGCCCTAATTAAGACCCCGCCCACACTAGGGTGCATAGGGAAAAAGGAAGGCTAGGGTGGGGATGGCGTGATGGTGGAGCTGCCCTACTACTTACCTTCGGACAATTGCAGCCAGGCCTCTACACCCCGAACACCTGCCTTGCCAGTTCACCGACAAATGCACGCTCGACAAAAGCACGCCGCCGAAACTGTGGCGAGAAAACTGCGAGTTTGAAAACACACCGACGAATGAGCGCAGAAGTGCGCCAACAGTGCGCCAACAGAAGCGCGCTCTAACCCTAACCCTGAACCTAACCCTTACCCTAACCTTTACCTTAACCCTAATCATGCTTCTGTCGGTGCTCTTTTGTCGGCGCGCCTTTGTGGGCACGCTGTCGACATCGCAGTTTTATCGTTGCGGTTTTGTCAGTGCGCTGTTGTCGGGCGCACATTTGACGAGTCACGGCCTTGCCGGCCCATTTCTTCTGCAGCCGGCAAAGCTTTCCTTGAAGGCCTCTGACAGCAAGAAGGATGCCAGGGGCGACGCACACAAGTGAGAAGAGTCAGTGGAAGACAGGACACACACACACACCAAAATTAAGACCTGGTACCTTTTTCGGTGGCAAAACAAAAATGTAAGACCAGGTTCTTATTTTCCGGGAAACACGGGAGGCCCAGTGGTGGGTTGCCAATTGTTTTTTACTACCGGTTCGGGCACGCTCATGTGCGCACGATGCTTCTGCGCATGCACAGAAGCGTCTGGGTGGGTGGGCAGAGCCTCTCGCCGGCACTACTACCAGTTCACTCGATCCGTCCCGAAGTGGGAGCAACCAGCCTCTGGGTTTGTGCCAACAAACCTAGGTTTATTCAATAAATCTGAATTGCTTGTGTACTAGAAACAAATGGTTGTTGGTGACAACTGGCCACTCCCCAAACCCTACTATTTATTTCCCAGCCAAGGAGGGGGCTGCCTATCATCTGTGTCTGCCTCTCCCTGAGAGCCGGCTTATTGCCTTCCATTGCTCTCCTCTCCTCTCTGCACATGCGGACATCTTGGATGGGCCCCATCTATTCCTCCCCCTCACTCAGCTCAGGCCCTGAAGACAGCAGCCTCTCCACCTGGGGGAGGACCAGAGGTAGGTTCCTACCAGTTTGGACCGGTTCAGCCACTCACAAGCAAAATATTGTATAAAAAGAATATAGAGTGTGTATCTATGTGTTTGTATGTCAACTGTATGAGTATCTGTGAGAGCTCTGTGGGTATGAGAGAAAAAACATACAGTTAGTCCTTGGCGTACGACCACAATCAAGCCGAACATTAATGTTGCAGTTGTTAAGTGAATTTTGCCCCATTTTCCGACCTTCCTTGCCACGGCAGTTAAGTGAATCTCTGCAATTGTTAAGTTAGTAACATGGTTGTTAAGTGAATCTGGACTTTGCTTGATCACGTGCCCACCCCCCCAGGACACTCCATCCGTCATAAGTACATGCCAGTTGCCAAGCATCTGAGTTTTGATCACATGACCATGGGGGGAGGTGCAAATGCTGTACCGGTATATGTCAAAAACAGCCATTAGTCACTTTTTCCAGTGCCGTTTTGAACAGTCACTAAACAAATTGTTGCAAGGCAAGGACTACCTGCATCGCACTGTTTTTAATCAGCAAGTCCATAAATTCCCATTTCGTTATATATTGTTCCCCTTTTAGCAAAACATCCATCAGATGTTTAAGATGTTTAAATCCCGGTGTCAGCGTTCCAAATATCATGCAGAATTAAATCAGAGACCAAGGCAAAACTATCCTTAAAGTTCCAATTTA